GGCGACTGATACAAGTCCAATAGTCAAACGAATTAATAGCAAACGATCCGCACTTGTTCTCTTGAATTCAGCTATCTGTGAAGGTTCATTAATCGCAAACAAAATCACAGACAGTAATGGTTTAAAAGTTGCATTTTAAAAACATCGAACAACAACCTATCGAATTCGTAGTGGATTATCAATCAATTATGACATCTAACTTGCCTCTTGATAATCTTCATCAATAAAAGTGAAATACATTTTATGTATTATGGTAATTGTCTCACCTTCCCTCTCAAAATTGTGCCAAAATGTGATACGTAGCACTCAATGGTATTCCAATTCTGCACATAAAAACAAGAACAGAAATGATCTGCTTACTCCACTGCTTTTTTCGTCAAACAGTGAATCTGTTGATGTGGGATGAAAAAGCAGTTGGCATAAAGTAGGCAAAAATTTTTTTTTTGCCATTTGTCCTAATACAACGAAATAAACATGTGACATTTTTCTTCTCGAAGCTTCGTCAATTTATATATAGATACCGAGCAGCAATCTAGACTATAAAATCAAATTATTCTACGACAGCTATTGCAAACAACATTTTTTTACGATCGTAACAGGTAAGAAGTTAGATAAATTTTAATGTTGTTTCTAACCTGCTAAAGAAAATAAAAAAAATAACTAATTTGTTGATTTCAGAAATGATTTTGTAGTTTGGAAAGTGATTTATCACCTTCATAAAACAACTTTCCATATTATTAAACTATCAAATCAACTGTTTCCTCCTTAGCAAAAGTATTCTGTTGTGGATTTTCAAATTTCTGAAATCTTTTAATTTGTATATATGATAATTCATTCAAAACTAAAAACAAAACTTTTAGCTGCAAATATACTATTGATGAAAATCACTTTTTAAGGCTTATGATGTAACTGAAGGAATAATAATAACGTTTTCAAAAATATCCGTAGTACCTTTTTTCGTGTACTCTTTCAAATGAGTTGATGATAAACTTTTCAAACTTTGGACTACTGAACTACAGATTTCTGGAAATAAATAAGCTCATCTTGCCTTTATTTAATTAGTCCTGCTTCACCAGTGAAAATTTCTTTTGAAACTAGTTTTTTTTTACAAAAATATTGTTCACGATTTCTTAGATTTAATGTGAATACTATCGAGTTTTTCGATTGTGTTAGAAACGTAAGACGTCCCTTTTATCAATCATACAAATCATTTTCGCATCTAAAACTGTTTCACATTTTAATGATAGATGACGAAAACGAACTGGTTCAGCACAAAGAAGTTTGTCTATAGCTAAGAGAAACACTTTGCATTACATTCTCTAATATCGATCAGCTCTTCTTGTTTTAAAACGAAGCGTGAAAAGAACCTAGTTAGCATTGTCTCTGCACAAAAGAAATCAGTCATTCATCTGTTTTGCTGATAATTAGATAACGATGACATGTCTATACGAAAACTTAACCAACATTGTGAGTGTATCAGGCAGAAAAAAAATGTTTTTACTTTTACTGCTTGATTAGTGTTTTATTTCACTTAATATCTCGGTCCTCCGATCTATAGCTATTCTATCTATCGAAATTTCTTTCACAATTCACAGGCACAAAATGATCAAAATCAAAACAATGATTTTCATGGTTCTAATCATAACATTATTTGTAACGTACTGCAGTGCAAGCAGCAGTCTGAAACAGCTAGTGCCACAGAAACGAGGATTGTGTAATATTGCTTATGCTGCATGCTTGTTGTCTTAATGGTAATGATGCTAAGTGTTGTGGTGATCGTCCTTGTTGTCCTTGGGCTAATTGTGCTAGTTATGTTGGGCGTTGATGTTGATCTTTGCAATATATCAAGTATGTTTTAGTAATATAGTGTCTCAATGATAATTCATGAAGAGAATGTCAATGATATTTTATTCTATCATTCATACATTCTTCTTGGAAATTATCATTTCGAGTACTTTATGATACTGACCTAACTCTATTCATTTTTTTCTTCTAGGAAACATAATGCAAATGAACATTCAAACCAAAAAAAAAAACAACAGGCATTCTTATCATATATTATTATAATCATTGCACACTATCAAACAGCTTGTTTTCTGTTCTATTATTCTCTATTATATTACTACTTTACTTTTTCTGTATTTTTCACAAGTTTTTATGATCACCATCGAACATTCTGGGCTAGTTAGTTTTTCTTCTATCACAATCAACTATTTTTCATCTTATTTTTCTAGATATTTCACAAGCTTCAATTCTAATAATATTTGTGCACTGAAAACATGCCCTTATTGGTTTTGTAAGAACCAAACAACACATCCAGAATGACAATAAGCTGGAGTAATCGGATTGAAATCTAGTCAAAACTTGGAATATATGACAAAGAGTATACCATGATATAGAAAAGTTGTGGCGTCTATGACGCAATCTTTGCGAACTTGTATATTACTCTCTGAGAACGCAAATGGTGGAAAGTACATCGCTTTAGGTGATAGAGAACTGGAGATATATTTATATAATTTATTTTCATATTGACTGTAGTGCCTCTATCTGATTTTTCCAGCAAGACTTGGCTTTTTCTGTTATTCAAAAGTCCACTATGACCATTCTGATTTTGGTCACACTGGTCTGAAATTACAGCTTTTAATTAGTTGTATCGCGACTGAAAGAAAAACTATGAATGAGGATGAGCATTGATAAAGAGATGCCACAATTAGTTTCATCTTTTGTCACTGAGGTGATTAGGTAGCTCTGTACTATAATGCATTGATAGCGCTATTTAAGAGAAGAAAATAGAATACGTGTTCGAAGAATTATGTTGGAGTTGTTTATGAATATTTCATGCAGTTTGAATATACGTAGTCCAAGATCAATTTTTGAGGGAGATGAGGAGACTTGCCTCAATATCAGTTTTAAAGTCAATGAAGCTATTCAATTTAATTTCGATGGAAAATTGCCGCCCTCAACGTAAAATAGTTTTGTTCAGTTGATGAAAGTGTACAAAATCATATATTATGAATATGTTTTGCTTGAAGAAATTCATAATCTTGATCTACTGTTTCATTATTTAGTATATTTAATTTTTTTTGCATGTTATTATCGCTTTTTTTTCTTTGAGGGTGGGGTGTGGGTGTGGTTTGGAATCTTCAAGTTCAACTACACTCACTCCTATAATGGATATATTTGAAAGCAAATCAAATAGGGGTGTGGGTGTTGATCTACTAACGGTTACTGCTACACCCACACCCACACCGCACACCCATACCCACACCCACACCCACACCTACACCCACATCCACACCCACACCCCACACCCACACCCACACCCCACACCCACACCCCACACCCATACCCACACACACCCCACCCACCCACCCACACCCATACCCTATATATAACTGTTTCTCTTCTATGAAGTTTATCTGTTAAATTCGTAAATAGATAGTACTTATGTATGTTATTTTTCTGTAAAATTATTTAAAGTTCAAATTTACGAAATTTAAGTTTGTTTTTAAATGTAAGTTCCAAATTTTTATTTATTAAAAATGGACTTTAGTTTTTCAGATTCTTTATTTTGGATTTAATAAATTTTTTGCAAACGTAAATTTTTAACTCCTGATAGCACTCGAATTTTAATATTAGCTAAGAGCTTTGAAAAATTAATTTTCAAAAGTCTAAATCAAAAACATGACACATTTTTCACCTCTCTAACTAACGAATTGGCTTTTCCGTGAATTTCAAATGCTATATAAGGAATTTAATTGATAAATATAGCATTTGATAAATGATTAAGTTTTGAAATACGTTATAAAATTAATATTAAATCTTTTTCCAAAGACTCATAACAAAAATTCGTAAAGATTTTGTTCTTATTTGTCGTTTTCCATCATTTTATGTCAACTACTTTCTAGAAAGTTATGAAATTTAGAACAAAATGAGTGCAATATAGATCACTCTTCTCAGATAGTCTAATGAAGGAGGCATTTGCAAATCTGTTTTTAAAGAAATTTCACAAGCTTAAAAGTTAATTTAATCACTTGAAACTGCTTTTATACTCGATTTGTTTCTACTGGAGTGCTCAATACGGTTCTTCTGAAATCTCTGTTTTGCTCGAGTATTGGAAACTTCGCTAAGTATCAACGGATTGAAAACTCTTCGAGCAGTCGAACATGGGTCCCTATAGGGGCTGATGTTCGATTTTTTCTTTATTTTATTTCACATCGAAAAATGTCCTCACACACATATATATCTACAAATATCCGAACTTAGAGCACAAACATATACATATATCGACTAACGAGATGAAGGGTTGAAAACACAGATAAAAAATAAAGAAACGAACGAATATATGTATACATAACATCAAAGAGAGATGACCTGAGAAGAAATTTCTAGGGAAGGTAAAGAAGAGAGAATAGAATATATCTGAGGTGGAACCTCCAACAGTCTCCGACAGGACAATTCTCGAATGGTAGGAATTCGATGGCTCTCGAGGGGCCCGAAAACGAAATAGAACGAACAAAAAAAATAAATATTTCATTTTCGAGCGATCGTTGCACCCATCTTATGTTTTTTATTTTCTGCTTGAGATTTATCACAAAAGCTTTGCCTATGAAAGAGCAACAAAAAAGTCTGATTGTAATCAATTTTTTTCTGATTAAAAATTGATTAAAACGTCACGATTTTAGAGAATTTTTCAATGCATAAGCAATTGTTTATGATTAACAGTCAGATAAAAATCGTGCCATTCTAATTGATTTTTAGTCAGAAAAAATCGATTAAAATCAGATTTTTTTCTATGCTTTTTTTGTCAGAGGTAGAAAGAGAAGAAAGAACAAAAGACGTAAAAGATAGTAAGATAAAGCAAAGTAGATGAGAAGAAGGTCAAAACAAACCTCTTACAGTGCAAAACATCTGAATCAACAAATCTTTTGCAAATATGTCTCGTTTTTTGTATCACTCCTTACATTAGATTGTTTCGACAGAGCGACAAAAGCAACAAGATGGCTCAAGACGCAATCGATAAAGATCAACTCGTGTTCGGCTATTGGAATATTCGTGGTCTGGCTGAACCATCACGATTGACTCTTCACTATACTAAAACACCTTATACCGACAAAATGTATCAGATGGGTGATGCTCCTGAATATAGTCGCGATGAATGGCTTAGTGAAAAGTTTAAACTCGACTTGGGTTAGTTCACTGACAAGTTTATTTGCATTAACTCGTATTGCTCATTTAGATTTTCCCAATTTACCCTATCTGATCGATGGTGACTTCAAACTCACACAGTCGAAGGCTATTTTGTACTATCTCGGTCGCCAAAATAATCTTATGGGCAAGAATCCAAAAGAGGAAGCCCTAATTATGATGCTCTGCGAACAAGCTCATGATCTACGTATGAAATTTGGTATGGTCTGCGTTGGTCCAAATGGCGATTCGGAAAATGAAAGGAAAAAGTTTCTTGAAACAACAGTTACCGAAGAAATAAAACAACTCAATGCTTATCTTGGCAAGCACAAGAGCAAGTTTGCTGTAGGTGATACACCCACTGTGGCTGATTTTCAGTTATTTGACTATATCGATTGTTGTTGTTCAATCGATGGTGGACGTACACTGCTCGACAAATATACGAATGTGAAAGAGTTACTTCAACGAATTCGTGAATTGCCTGAATTAAAAGATTACATTGTCAAGTCACACGCTCAATTACCGATGCATGCTAAAAGTGAGTTTCATAACTACAATACATATGTTTACTACATGTATATGCCGTTTGACTTTATTCTAGTAGCCAAGTTCGGAACACAAGTAATCGAGCAAAAGTGAATCAACAGCGAATGCTCACACAGAACGCTTTGATAAGAAAGATCGATTTTTAGAAATATACTAATGATTTGAATAATGAACAGAAAAGAAACGAGATAACTGCTGTGAAAATCATTTTTATTAATTTTTCATCTGAAAAATATTTACATTCGAGCTTTTGTGTCCACTCTGGTCACATCATCAGGAGCAAAATGAAAGATTAACTATTCTTGTCTGATTTCAAAAGAGTAATTGCTCAAGTTAATGTGGAGAGTGTCGACCTTGGTGTTAGGATGAAGCATCTCTCACAGCAGAAGCATGTCTTCCTTTTATGATCAAACAGCAAGACGTGGAAACAAAAGACAAAAAGCATGAAAACAAACAACCAAAACAAACTAGAAGACAAGAAACGTTTTAAAGTTCTTTGATATCTGACTATGCAACAAATAAATCTACATTGTTGGTGTACATCAAGTTAAGAGAAGATGTAGGTTAAGTTCTATCGGTTGAATTGAATTACATACGACAACATAACACTATTTTTAATGTCAGTTTGAGTGTAAGGATATCTTAAACAATCAGATCAAATAGAATAACATCTTAAATTCGAGCATATGATAGAGAGATAATTTATTAATGTGTATTATATGAGTCTAATGCTAGTATCGAATAAAATAAAAATAAAATAACTTTAAAGTTGCAATATGAGATGAAGATGTGATTCGTTGACATATAAAAAAACTAATGATATAGATTCCAGTTCAATCATATGAGTCTAATAATATTGAATCGAATAAGATTTAAGTTCCAATATAAAGTAGAGATATAAATTATTCGTATATGGTAGAACTAACGATATGTTTTAGCCTAGTCGCGTGAGTTTTGTTAATATATAAGAAGCTAACGTCATGTTTAAGCTTAATCCTGTGAGTCGAATAGTATTATTGAATATAATAAAATAACGTTTAAATTCTAATATAAGATGAAGATGTTATATATTAGTGTATAATGAAACTAACGATGCTTTTAAGCTTAGTCATATGAGTCGAAGAATAGTATCAATAAAATAATACTTTAATTTCAATACGAGATGAAAACGTAATTTGTTAATATACAATAAAATTAATGATATGTTTTAGTCGAATCATATGAGTGATGTGTTTAGGCTTAACCATATGAGTCAAAGAACAGTATGAAGTAAAATAACAGTATATGGTAGATGTATAATTTATTAATAAATAATAAAATTAACGATGTATTTTTAGCTAAGTCATGTGAGTCAAAAAAATAGTGAATCAAATATTAGAGACAACTCAATATGAATAGAAGACTTATAATCAGGTTGAATGGAATAACAATTTTTACTAAGATAGAAGCTGACATTATTAATGTTATAAATTAATGATGGCTGAAGTTGAATGAAATGAGTCATGAATGATATATGATGATAAAGTGAGATTGAGTTAAGTAGTGTTCTTCTATTTCTTTCAAATGTGTATTTAAGTATATAAATAGTGATACGATCATACAGTATCGGTTGTTTATACTTTGTTAATATATATACATTTTTTTCCTATATAGAGTAGCGAGATTGAGGGTTGTAAGAAATATTATCTGACAACTTTAAGAGTGTGCTTTATATCATTGATAGATTTACCAAGAGTTCTATTAGTTAGGATGCTTTCCTTTATTACCCGTCTTTTCCAATCACTTTCCCATGCTAGTGTTCTGGTGTTAGAAAAAGCAAAGTTATGCTTATATTCAAGGATGTGTTCTACCAGTTTTGAGTCTGTCGATAATGGCTTTATTTTTGCTTTATGTTCATTCATGCGTATTTTCTTCATTCTACCTGTTTTTCCAATGTATACTTTGTCACAATTCATATAGGGGATTGAATATATCAAGTTGGATGGGTATGGGTGTGGGAGGGTGTGGGTGCGGGTGCGGGTGAAAGAAAAGCTATACCCACACCCACACCACACCCGCTCAAGCGCAATAATCTAAGATAATAGAGAAAAGTTCAATAATGAATGTAATCAATTTCAAAAAATGAAATGACGAAGAACATGTGCGAATGACATCAGTAACAGTTAAAAATGAGAAAAGAATATTCAGTCTCACAAAAAAATAATAGTAAACGTTTTGAATTGTTCTTTTCTATATCTAATGACTTTATTATTAAATATTTTCCAACAATGAAGAATGAAACTTTCACCATGATTGATAGCATACGAATAATTGTTTGCTTAAAAAAAAAACATGCATGATTTTCAACGATTGAACTATCATTTTAGATAGGTTCATTCAACAATCCTAGTTTATATAGTGTAAACACTAGAAGACATGAAGATTCTTTTGATATTCAACAAATCTTAAAAAGTTCCTGCTTTGATTATCTTTGATCGAAAACAAAATCATACTAATAATTTTCGTGGTAACTGCATGTATTGTTACGTCTTTCATTTTCGTCAGATGCTGCCAAGAACAAAAAGAACGACTCGTTATTTTTGTCTCTTGAGAATACGAAGTATGAGTAAACAGCGAAGATCATGAGTATCGTTATCTCTCTATTTACCATTGATATTTGACGAAGAAAGCAAACGGTTTTAACAAAATAAAAAAGCCACATGGCTAATATTAACTACGATACTGTTGCTTTTAGCTTGAATGTAAGTAAAAAGATTTCTTATCATTGTACTCCTTATTAATGTGAAGTATTTTGTAGATGAATCAAATCAATATCATGACAACACAATCATCTTCAACAACAAAACCAATATCACTTGATAGTATTATACGCCTGTGTGGTGATCTTGGTCCATTTCAACTCATACATTTGTTTTTTATGAATCTCATTTCGATGACTGCAGGAATTGTTGCTTTCTATTATGTATTTGGTGCAGCTGATGTAAACCATCGATGTCGATTGTCACCGTCGGTATGGCCCAACGATGTGCATTATAAGCCGATAAATCAAACGCACGAAGCTCTTATCAATGAGTACATTCCGAAAGGAACAGATGGCAAATGGGACAAGTGTATGCGCTATACGACCAACGATCAGCATCGAACATTGATCAATTGTCCGAATGGTTGGGCATACGATCGATCTGTTTTTGGTTATTCATTTACTGAAGAAGCTAATCTTGTTTGTCATAGTGAACCAAAGAAAAGCTGGCTGAATACATTAATGCAAACAGGTGGCTTCTCGTTGCTTATGATCGGTTCTTTAGGTGACAAGTTTGGACGAAAAAGAACAACCATTATAACAACTATTCTTCTGTTCGTACTGTGTGTCATTACACAAATCTTTTTGCAATGGATACCAATGACAGTAAATGCCAAGTAAGTTGACTAATTCAGATATTTTTAGTGACAATCAATGAATCTTTGTTGCTTTCTTTTGGGACCTATCACTTTGAGACTTGAAGTTTTTTAGAATCAAATATATTTTCAAAATCTTCATTGAAATTTCGAGACGGAATATTTTACACTGAAGTATACATTTAAAAAATTTAGGAAAACTAAAATGAAGTTGAATATGATTTTAATAATCAAGAAAAAAAAAATATTTACTGGAAGCTTTTCTTACCAAAGCAAATTCCGTTATCCCTAAGATTTGATCAGAGCGATTTACGATATCTAAAAGCAATTGGATCACACATTTCTTGTGTAATTAAAGTAAAAGTGATTATGATAAACGTTCTCGTAGATTTCTTTCGACATGTTTTCAGGTATATAATTTCAATACATTGATAGATTCGTCCTGTTGCTGCTCAATCAACTAGTATCTGGTCTTACCATTTCGACTTACAGTATGGCTTTTATTCTCATGCTCGAAATAACATCATCGGCTCATACGAGTCTCGTTGGAAATACGGCACTTGTCGCTTATACAATCGGTGAAGCAATAATCACTCTTTCTGCCTATCTTACTCTTGACTGGCAAAAGCTTAAATGGGTCAATGCTATTTTTATTGGTTTAGTTTTACCTTATCTCTATTTTATGCCGGAAACGCCACTTTATCTCTATGCCAAACAACAATATACTGAACTCGAAGCACTTTTGCGTCGAATTGCAACGCGAAATAAACGAACTGAAGAACAATGGTATCCATCGTATCAGAAATTCTTACGTAATCAATCGATCACAGAAGTTAACAATGAAACGAAAATGTCATTTTCCAAACAAGTTCGTCAGCTTTTTTTACATAGACCCACCGTTATTAAAGTATTAATTACTGATCTTCTTGGTTTTACAACATACTTGCTTTATTACGAAATAAGCTACGGCTTTGAACTCATGAATATATCACCATATCTTGGAGTTCTCATTGGAGCTGTCGTTGAAGCTATTGGTTACATAACCGGTTCTTTTCTCGTTGTAACACGGCTCGGTCGTAAAGGTACATTCATCATTATGATGAGTCTCACAGCAGTTTGCGTTCTCATCATACCATTTGTTAGCAAACATGGTGCATTAGCTACTGTGTTCGTTGCTCAATTTGGAAAATATTCCATATCAGGCGCAATATCAGTATCTTGGATATTCATACCCGAACTCTTTCAGACTTCTATTCGAAGTACTGCAAATGGACTTTTCATTACTTTCAGTCACCTTGGAGCTATTATTGCGCCAGTTATCAGTACTTCTGTGAGCGACAAATACGTATCAATAGCATTCTACGTGTCATCATTTCTAGGAGTGGTCGTTCTTTTGTTAACAATGGTTTTACCCGAGACAAGAGGCAAATCAATGGATGATGAACAAGATTATTCGAATATAGAAACTCATACGTGAAACTTTTTCTTACTTTTTACTGTTTCATATGCTTTTTTTCATACACACAAAAATAAAATAAGCTCAGAATGGACGTGTTCCATGTTTTATCGGAGAACGGTCTAACTGATTGTCCGTTCAATATCGGATTCGACATTCGCCTAGGCCAATGCAAGATTAGACGTACTCTCAGTTTGGATGCTCACTTTGGACTAGTCCAATCTTAGATCTCACCTTGGCCTAATGTAAATTCAGGCCATTCTAGAATCGATAAGTGAAAACCAGTCCAATCTGAGATTGGCCTGGATATCACTAGGCCCATCTTATATTCGACTAGATCAATATCAAAATGAAATATCTATACGGTCAATCTCAGAATCGACTAGCTCAATCTCGAAATAAGTTATAAATAATATTTAAATGCAGGTAAAGCATATAAAAAAAATTATTTTCAACAAATTAGAACATTTAATCAGCAGTATAACAAAAAATAGTTCCACCAAATTCAAAAAAAACGAAATGAAATAGTATTTCTGTTCTAACAACCTAAATTAACACAACTAGGCCCATTTTTGTAACATTTTGTAGAACAAAATACACTAATCCTCTTACGAGTACACTGTTTTGTTTTACAACTACCTTTAGATGAACAAGTAAATTCATTAGCACTGTCACAAACGTATAATTTCGACACGGTTATAATCGAAATTTTTTTTCAACTAACTTGTGTTTAAATTAATCAATTTTTCTTTATAAGCATAAACTTTTGAATAAAATATTTCTTCTTCTTTGCAAGAATAATCATTCGAATCATTGACCATGACTTCATCAACATCTTTCATGATGTTGATTTCCGTCAATAATTCTATCGGGTTGGTGCAAAAGTCTCCGCCGATTTTTTTTCTTTTCAATGTTTCATGATTTTATTGAAACAAAATGTCACTAATCGACAACATATATACCATTATTGTCTATGACATACTCCCATCTTTTAGGCAAATCGAGAATGCCATCTTCAAAGAATTTCTTTGATAAAGACGAAAAGAAACTCTCGAGGTCCGATTTTAGATGTAGTCGATCATCAAAATGCTTTTTCACCAGGTGATTGCGGAGCGACCGGAACAGATGATAATCAGAAGGTGCCAGATCTGGTGAATATGGTGGATGAGGTAAGACCTCCCACCCTAATTCTTCCAGCTTCTGGCGAGTAACTTTTGAGATATGAGGTTTTGCATTATCGTGAAGCAATCGAACTTTTCGTCTTTCTGGACGATTTCCTTGTAGTGCAATTTTCAAATTCTCAAGTTGTTTGCAGTAAAGCTTCGAGTCGACTGTGGTATTAGGTGGTAGAAGTTCCCAGTAGATAATACCTTCGAAATCCCACCAGATCGACAGCATAATTTTTTTCGGATGCAGGTCGTTTTTTGGTTCAGGTTCAGGCAAATCTTCAGGATTGACCCATTGACGCTTGCGTGTATGGTTGACATACAGGACCCACTTTTCATCACCAGTGACAATCTGTTGAAGAAACTTGTGTCGGTTGCGTTTTGTCAACAAAGAATTGCATATGGTGATTCTTTGCTGTATATTGTCCGAGCTTAGTTGATGTGGAACCCATGTTTCAAGTTTACTAACTTTTCCAATTTCATGTAAATGCCGATCGATGGTGGAGTGATCGCATAGAAGCATAGCTGATAATTCACTGGTAGTTAATCGTGGATTGTCTTCGATCAGGACTTTTAATTGTTCAATATCAATTTCCAGAGGACGTCCAGACCTTGGACGATCTTCCAATGACATATCACCTTCCCGAAATCTTTTAAACCAATCTCGACAAGTGCGATCAGCAACAACACCTTCACCAAGTGCAGCACATATATTGTGCACAGCAGCACTTGCATTGTTCCCCAGTTGGAACTCATACAAAATGCAATGTCGAATATGAATAGAAATCTCTGACATATTTTAATATGGAATGTAAATAAAATCGGACATTCATTAATATCACATTATAGTACTGCACAGGCGGTATCATATGTGCGAAAACCACGCCTGGATAGTAGCGCTAGATGGCTTTAAAAGACTTTCAAAAAAATCGGCGGAGACTTTTGCACCAACCCGATATTTGCTAATAGATTAGATTTCATAGACGTATTTGATGTTCCAGTTGTAAATAAACCGTCATTCATTACGACAACAACAATAAAAAATTGACTTTATGTTGTCAATATTTAAATATAACAGGCGACTTCAAGATTGGCCTAGTGATATCCAGGCCAACCTCAAATTGGACTGGTTTTCACTCATCGATATTAGAATGGTCTGATTCTACATCAGACCAATGTGAGATCCAAGATTGGATTAGTCCAAAGTGAGCAGCTTAGATTGACCTAGGCCAAATCGAGATTGCACTAAATTCGAAATTGAACGCTGACAGATATATATTTTATTTGACGTAGAAATGTCTTTTTTTATTGGATAAATTTTTTTATTACTAATTGAAAGAACTTTAATCATGTTAATTATTAATTGACTCTTAAAAGTAGTACGTTTCATCTATTTCCAGATTGATGAGACTCTTTTTCAATATATTTTTAGTCTTGATAATTCAACAATTTGACTTCATAATGGTATTCAATAATGAATAGCAACATTCAATGTCTTTATTATTTTTCAATGATATATCAAAACTTTTATTTTTTTGATCCTTTTTCTTTTAATAAATAAAAGCCTTCTTATATAAACAAAGTTCTTCTTAATCATATTGAAAAATTTCGTAGAAAACTTTTCGAAAAACATTAGCCTGAATCAGTTTTTCAAACATTTTGTTTTCAATTTACGTTTATTATAATTCTATTGTTAAAGAAAACAAAAAAACTGAAACTTTTAACTAAGACTCGTATCCTTTTCTAAGATTTGTCACTTAGAAAAAGTTCTTTTTTAAAAATACAATCAATAATATACACTGCACACAATATGAGGTAGTTTAACATTAGTAAATATGCATTCACTAAAATCTCTATCATTGCAAAATAATAAACAAATCATTAACAGGAGTTTCAAGATTAACAACATCAATTAGAATAGATGAATATGATGAAGAAATTGTTTGAAATTATAATGATGATTAAGATAAAGATAAAGATAGATTATTTAGTTGAAATCGATTGATAAAATAGTAATGTAAAAATATCAAATGGAACTAAAACTCGTGAACCTTTTACTCCCACTTTTGTTTATCTAGATTTCGCTCAACAAGATTTTCGTGTAACAATATATTTATCATCATGATCATCTATATCTACAATAATTTTTACATTACTTACATGATAATCTGTTTCATCAAATATGAATGAGAATAATTCGAATAATAACGGAAAGTAATCAATTAACTCAATTAATATAATTAATGTGATAGAAGAAGAATTAACCGAAAAATTGGGGTATGGATGTGGGTATGAGTGTTGATCTATACAGACCCATACCCCACCCCCCACCCCCCACACCCACCCACACTCTGATAGTTTAATAATGAATTCTAAAAACGATGTAAAATATAAACTATAAATTCTAAAACTGGAATAAAATTTGAGTTAATATCTCGATCAATGTATTTTTGCTCGGAATAAAATGTTCTTTTGACAGAAACATCAGATATCTGATCGACAAACAAGCCGTACAAAGTATAAAACGGACATGTTAATTATGGAGCATGAAGAAAATATTTTTTATCTAGGCCATTTTATTCTATTCAAAACTATTCTTCCAAAAAAACTCATAACACTTATTTCTAATCACCTAATTTTCTAATTATACTGTTCAAGTACTAATAAAAGGCAACCATATTGAAAAACGAAGCAAATATTTTTAAACATTGATAATTTTTTCTTGAAATAAATCGATAAATATTAATCCATTCAATTTCTCCATATGAAGATAATTCTGCCAAATTAAATTCAAATATCTAAATAAAAATTTATTTAAAAATAAATAGAATTAAATAAAAATAATAACTTTATTATATTGTTCTTTCGAATTTTTAATAAAATATTCAAATGATTGACGAAAATTTTCAAAAAGTCTTTTCAGCGAATTAATATATTTACTTATTTTACTCATTATTATAATTGATTTTTTTAATTTTATTTATTCTAATAATAATGAATATTTAAGCATACATTGAACAGGTTTTATTAAATATGATTTAAATGATAATGAATGTTGATGATATAGATTACATGATTGAAAAAATTCTTTTAAATATTCATTATTTTTATAATGATTTAAAAAACGATTTGTTCTTAAATATATTGCACAATATGTTGAATAAATATTAAAATCTCTAGAAAAATTAATAAATGTTTCAGCAATTCATATGAGAATATTCTAAAAAAGATAAAATGATTTTAATATAAAAAAAAAACAACATATAATCAAATATACTTCAGTTAATAAATTTAATTTAAGATTTTCGAGAAATATAATTTGTAATTGATAAATTGATTTAATACTATTATAAAGTGATTCAATTGCATCTGATGGTAAAATTGTGGAATTATTACATAATGGTTCAATGTATTGTTTTAGGAAATTTTGTCTATGCTAAGTAAAAATGAAAAACGATCGTTGATAATCATTGAATAAGCTCTTCTTATCATATTTATTTGGTTCAATGTGTCGATATTCATATCATCACTAAACGCTAATATTCATAGTCACAATTGAAGGTATGAAATAGTTTACTGAGAGTAGTAGTAAGCCTACTTCTCTCAGTTTGTTATAGTATGTCTGTTGCAATCGAAAAGAAGAAAAGACATAACTGTACAAGTTTTTTTTTGATAAAGATTTTTTCAATTCACTCACTTGAACATAAGATTTTTCAGTCGCAATTAATTCAACAATAACTTTTTGTATTCGTTGATTAATTGGAACACTTGTCATTTTTCATATGAAACAAATACAAAAAGAAAGAAAGAAACAATGACACTCGTTTCATTCATTCGTACGTCGTGTCTATTTACATTATTGAAAACAGCATCTTTGCTTCTATTAACGACATCGATCAAATAGATAACATGAACGTAGGGATATAAATATTCATATTTATGAGCGAAAAGAAACAAATAAATGAAGATAAATATGGAATATTCATCGGTCAAATTAAACGATTTACCTGATGCGATTCTTCTGATTATTATGAAAAAATTACATAATGTTGAAGTATTCAACTCTTTCATAGGTGTTAATAAACGATTCAATAGAATTGCACATGACCGAACTTTTTCAAGCTATTTATCATTGATGAAACGTTCATCGCATAATTCCATGTACGATCCCTTGTCTGATTCAATGTTTAATCAGTTTTGTTCACAAATTTTACCAGAAATTCATCATCAAATCAATTGGCTTGATCTTGAATCAACAGCCATGGATCGTATTCTTCTTGCTACGAATTATCTGAATTTATAAGGAGTTGGTTTATATGGTATTGACATAGAAGAAGCTGTATTTCTCTTTATTAGTAACGTATTTTATTCGATTCTTTTAAGAATTAATTCATAAAACAGGTAAATAAGAGACAAAATGATTTATTTTAAATATATAATTCGTACAGTTAGAATTAGATGATTACACATTATTTATCATTATAAAATAATTTTGTATTACCCATATTTATCGATGACCGTGTATTACAAGAAATTCGTTGATAACAAAAAAAATAGAATTATTCATTTACATGAAAAAGAATATTTTATATAATATTCAATTGAGATTTGGAACACTGGTCAACGTAGAAAGTGTACAATAAAATATATGATAAAAGGTCAATGATTGAGATGAAACATAACATCGATGATACTATATGATTTATTAGAGAATTTAAACGAAGATCATATATATATACATTATAGTGTTATCAGCAAGAAAAAAAAGATTAGATACTTGAATTTAATGAATAAAACCAAATTTAATAAATATTTTTGTCATTATCTTTTAATCTTTTCATTTAGACGAAGCTGCTTTACCTCATATTTTCAAACGTCAAATTTCATCATTTGTTATCGATTTTATTAGAAAAAGCAAATCATCTTCAACAATAGTTTTGCATACACTTGTATTTACATAAATCTTTACTATATTTACCAATTTACGGGATTTAAATTTCGATCTGTCTTCAATTTGGTCTGAAGGATTATCATTTGATGTGTCACCTTCAACTGTTAGCTCTTCAACTCTGTTAGAATTACGTGTCTGTGTACGAAGTTTCAGCGATTGTCTCTATTTGCTTGATGAACATTAGAGTCCTGTAGGGTAGGGTGAGGGTACGGGGGGTAGAGTGGGGTAGAGTCAGAGTACGGAGGGCATAGGGTAGGGTAGGGTAAGGGTACGATGGGCGTAGGGTAGGGTAGGGTATGGGGTGTGGGTGTGAGTGTATGGATATCTTCAACCCGACCACACACCCACCCACGTTCCACTCAAACCTACACCTACACTCGCACCCACACCCATGCGTGGTGTGTTTCTTTGTTACAAAGCAGCAGCTAAAATTATGATTAAACAGAACAGAGTAGGAAAAACCATTGGTGTATGTAACAATGCTGGCTATATAGCATGTCCAATGCTCCGTCCTTATTGCTCCACAAAATGGGGTGTACGAGGTTTAATGCAAGCTGCTGTTATAGAATGGGCTCCATACAATATTATACAAGGGGAACAAACTGATTTCAATAACTGAAATCATTTGAAATCCCGAAATCAGTTTGTTTCCCCTTGTTTGGATACTATATAGTCTCAAGTTCATTCGAAATATTTTATCCAGTTGAAACTTTACACAATTATTATTCGAAACTGACGGCATCCAATATTGAACATAATGAAATACTCATAACTCATACTTTTCAAAAAGATATCCGAAGAAAACCTTCAAGTCAGAGCATCAAAGCAAGACGAAATAACAAAAAACAATAAATAAAATACACCCATATTCATTAAAAACTGAAATTTTCAAAAAATTCACATGGTTGTCATCAATCATACAATCTATAATATCCATAAGAAACATTATTTCCTTATTTCAATATTTTACAGTAATATGGAAAAGTAAAGAACAGATTAATAAATAATTTACATCATTTTATTGTGCTATCGATCTCTTGTCAGTAATTGATTAGTATATAACGTTCACACAGACTAGCAAATTGTTGCGATTACAACATCTATATCATCAAAAAAAATACTTTGTTTCTCTTGTATTACTTCAGTAGTTCTCTTTTATTCGACAAGAAAGAGAATTACTATTTGTTTACTAAAATTCAAAATGTGTCGTACATCTTATGAATGATTGTGACTAAGACACTAATAATTCCGTTTAATCTATTCTACGCATTTCGTGGATGCTAATATCGACTTTCATCTTAAATATATCAAATAACCACGTGATAATTAATTTTCTACTATGATTACTTGCATTTCTGAGTAAATTAGACACTCCAGTTCTTCTTCAAATTTTTTTTATCAAAATTTAACGTTATTTATTTTCAAGAGCACTGTTTAGTACATTTAAATGTCCCTTTTTTATACATATACTTTCATGATCTGATGATTTTTATATTATCCATCGTACTGTTATGACTTATCAATGATAGTGCACATTCTCATATTGGTATTTAATACCAATGTGAAAACATCAGGCAATTACACCTATTCAATACCATTTATAAGATAGCCGATTCTCAATATATTTCATTTGTCTATAGGGGATGAAACTTACACTTTGTACATAAATTATATCTGTCTTCTTCCTATTATAATCTTACAAAAATTCACAAAACATGATTTCCTATGTAGTTACAGAATATGTAGAATCGCTTCTATCAACGCTTCGATAATTGTGTCAAAGTTGAAATGTATGTTTTTGGTATTGGCTCTGCACATTTTCTTGTTCTTTGACAAGTACCATTTCATGCCACATTCAAGTCAGAATTTGTGTGCAATCAAACAATATAAATTTAGCGAAGCAAGAATATAATAAAAACACAATTATGATAATTTGATTTTTTTCTCTGGAGTATAGGTTATAATTGAAATTATTATTACATGATGCATTGTCAAAAATGCAATTTTATTTCTATAATGGACAAAATGTAAGAATAAAATAAAAGCTAAAGCAATTGTGTTCCCTTTTATAACACTAATCATTTCAAAATTATCATTGCTTGATAAAAATTTAATAAGTTACTAAAGTTCACATCATTAAATAACTTGATAGATTCTGTATGCCGAAACCTCAACTTTTCTACGATTAAACATTGTTCTATATCTTTAATAATTCGAACACAATATGCGTTTTTCAAACAGTCATAACAAATATACTTTGATATCTTCTATGAAAAAAAAATAATATTTATTTTTATATTTTCCTAGTTATACAAGCTTTATGAAACAAAAATTGCAGGAGACAAAAATACAAGTTGGAAACTCTTTTTATAGACTTACCGCTTGTCCAAACAATACTCTCATTCCTTTGAAATTAGTCATAATCCCACTGAACCTCATCCACCCTATCTCTTGCATGTCTCTCAAGAAGAGCGGTTCACATGCAATATCACTCATTTAAACGATTCAAAAAAAAACTATTCATCTGAAGTTCAGTAATCCATAAGACTACTGCACCACATGTACTTTGCTTCGAAATAACTACTGCCATCACAAATAGACTTTTTAAGAACATTCGTCATAAAACCCTATTTTTAATAAGCGAAATAAACGAACAAGATGCAAAATGAATTGGATAGAAAAGTATTACAACTCCTTAATATCTAACAAATCATTTTATCTTTGAATCCCAATCATGAAAACAACATATGAATAATCAATCAACGTAGAAAATGAATTTATTAGCAATCGAAATTTATTCGATAATTCAATGCCTCCATGTCCCAATCATCAAAAAAAAAAAATATGAATAATCAATGCACACAGAAAACGAATTCATTAGCAATTGAAATTTATTCAATAATTCGATGCCTCCATATCCCGACCATAAAAAAAAATACAAGATTAAAAAGAAAAAGAGCCGATTATGCAAACAAACTAATTCGAGTATAAATTTTCTGTAGGGATTCATGCTTTTTAGTTCACGGAAAACATTTGTTGTAAACCAAATTATATGACATAAAGTTTCATAGACCATGATATTATATTGTAGAAAAGACGATTGTACTGCTTTAATATGGCATAGGAGACATGTACAAAAATTTCTAGCCCGGGAGTTTCGAACATCTTTTATAGCCAGAACACGTCGTGCATGGTGAATAAAAATGAATAGCGTCATTACTAAATACAATCCACTTTTACGTAAGCCATATATCGTAAAATACGTCACACTTCAGTGCCATGTACAGACTCATGCCAAATTGTGTCTAGATATTTAGAGAGGTCTATATGAAATCATAATTTGATTATCTATATGCAATACTTGGATAACAAGTATAAAGGCTTATAGTTGAATTGTTTTTTTCTGCCGCTCTTAGAAATAACTGTAATCGATCTTTTTCATTTTTGAAAATAGTAAGCTACAGAATTTTTAACAGAAGAAATAAATAAAAACTATGTAACCGAAAAAGAAATCATGTAATGGATGGAATAACTTATTTCTTTTATGTAATTAACTAAATTCCATGAGAATAACAAGAAAGGAAGTTAAATATTGGGAGGAGGAAGAAATAGATTACATATCTGTTGTCGCTTCCCAGTAGTGTCACTATTCGCTTTGAAAAACAGAGAAAGAAAGAAGAAGAGAAATGATATACAATTGATGACTACTTACTTGAAAGAGATATATGGCGTCCTTGCTAACAGGTGGGGATGTCAGTTGGTATGCAGCATAGAAAAACAGATTTACAATAATAAACTCTAACATTGAAATTTCATAAATCCTTGAAGAGTTTGTTAAAGGTTTCATTTTCATTGACTCTTCCACAGTTATAAAAATAATAAAGCTTTAAAGGCTTATTATTTATATCCATATATATGTTTGAAGGATTTATTATTGTTATAATGATGCACGACTTTAGGAAAATGGTATATATTTTTAAAAGGTTTATAGCAATATCAAGTAGTCTTTACGAGGCTGACAAACTCTTCCGTATTTTTTATTCTTCGATGCTTCTTTTTAAGAATACGAAGTGATTGAGTGTTTCATGGAAGTTTTTCTTTGTTCGCAACAGCCAATGCAGCTATCCACATATGAATATTTATTTCGTTTGACAAAAAAAATGAGGCATTTGATCTTGCATTTTTCACTCAATAAATACAACGACAGTTATGCATACTTGAAGTATAAAGAACAGAGTATATTGTGTTTTTATGTTTTTCAACATCAAAAAAGAAAACTAAATTTAATCATCACAGGGAAGTAAAGTGTTGCATCGATTAAAGAAACAATGCAAAATATCGTTCTTGTTTCTACTCTCTTATCTGGGACGAATTTCACGTGGTATAATGAACCGAAAACATGGTCCATTAATCAAACCACTATTAATGTTCACACCGACAGGAATACTAATTTTTGGTGCAAGACATATTTTGGTATTGAGTATGACAATGGTCATTTTTACTATCAATCACTCCCTGGGGATCAATCTTTCACAGCTACTGTTAATATACGAGGAAAATACAACACACAATACGATCAAGGTGGTTTAATGTTACGTACTGATGAGAAAAATTGGGTCAAATGCGGAGTTGAATACATTGATAGTCAGCAAGTTGCTAGTGTCGTAGTAACAGTCAATGGGTGGTCCGATTGGAATGTAGTTTCACTGAACGAAACTGAAATTGTTAAGATACGTGCTAAAAGGGACAAGGAAGCCGTAGTTATTGGCTATGCTGAAGGTGAAGAAGGAGATTTTAAAATGATGAGGATCGCTTATTTACCATTGACAGATAAATCAAGAGCAATGATGGTTGGAATCACGTGTGGATCTTCCAAAAATACAACGGAAGGATTTGATATTAGTTTTGAACACTTAAATATTACGATTGACGCCAATACCAATGGAAGCGTACATGTCAGTTGTTGCTATGTTTTTCTTATTTTCTTCATTTCATTTCATTTGAAAAGTTCATTGTTTACAACAGAGGCATGTGACATATAAATATCAGAATTACATTTTTATATTCTAGCGTTTTCCTGTTAAACTTAAATATAAGAGGCTTTCAATTACTGGTTGATTAAAATATACTAGATAATCAGTATTTCAAACAATTATAAAATCAGTGAAATGAATGAATTAGCAGAAGAATAATTGATATAATCAGTTATAAATTAATCAAGTTTGTTGATACATTTCAAGATCCATAGATTACTTAAAGGATCAGCTATTAACGAATGACGCTCCTTGTTACAACTCACTTGAGATTCGATTAAACATTCATCCCTTGTTGTACAACTTATCACTTCTCAAATATATCGGTCTAGATACAGATATACATGTCCTTGTTTACCCACGATGCCAACGTATCACATCTTGAGGATGGGTGTGGGTGTCGGTGTTAGTTCAAGCGTGTATTTTCCACACTCGCACCCACTCACACCCACACCCACACCCACACACCCACCCACACTGCACACTCACACCCACCGACACCCCACATCCCATACTACAATAATCTAATTCTACTATACTAAGAACATAATAGAATTTTTGAGTTCAATGTGACTCTCGATATGTTGTTATTGAGAGGACAATGTTTTCATTTAATCGCACTTAATTAAGCATTTTATTCCTACACATGACTTTCGCACAAATTCGTCCACTTCAATTTAAAACCAATCTCATTTTTCTTCTCTACGACTACTAAAAGCTTGACGTTTTTGTAGAATACAAAAGTGCCAAAACTATTTGCAATACCGTTTGGGAATACCCTTGATAAACTACACTGAACTATATTCATAAACTATGCCTAGACTAGATAGTCCATAACGTCAATATTACTAACACGCAAATTGGCGTAAAATATATATTAAAAAGTACAATGTTAGTCTATTTAAACACCTATTTTCCTAGTCAAATTTTCAAATTGTATATAGTTGTTTGGACATCAACATCTATGTTTTTGATCAGAAATCACATCCATAATAGCTACAATCATTAATCGACGGAATTTGGATGTAAGACTAGATTGAGATCAGTTTTATTGTTTGATCAAATTCGTCTTGTTTCGAAAATAGAAGATACTAGATGAATAGAAAAAAATCTAAATCTATCGAGGAAAATCACCAGTTAGTATAGGCCAACATCTTAAAAATAATTGATTTTGGTAGCATCCTCTGTAACACGACATACTTGAGTACTATTCAGTAAAAAATAAAATCCCCATCAAAATGATTGATCATAATTATTTACAAGAACTACGTAATAAACGGTTAGTAAAAAAGAAATCATGGCAGTGTATGTTTGTGTCAATATTATCGTTGCGTAGCCAACTGTTAATTTACTTCCTTTTTTTTAAAACTTTGTTGTATAAGATTTGATTGTGTTCTCACACGTTAACCTATTTATTAAGCATTCAAAAGTAGTTCCTTTTTGTTTAAATAATCATGGATACTTTTTGTATGTGTTAGTATACTCAGACCTAGAATAAAAATCATGATTTTTTTGTGTTTCGCATATATGATTAATTTATTTTATTCTTATCCAAAGTACTCTTGTAGTAGCATAAGTAAAAGTCGTATATAAGGAGCGACGACTATGCAATCATCTCATAACCCTAACTTTTTTCAAACAAACTTCGTAATGTTGACTACCAAAGTAACCATCGTTATTTTATGTTGTTTGTTGACTTCATCTTATTGTCAACAACCATCTACATGTCCAAATCAAGGTGATGGTAATTATGGTTGTTTTGATATAACATCACAAGGTAGTTGTACAGAAGTATCAAATCAACCACCATCTCGTGATCTACGTTGGCCACGTTCCGGTATAGATTTGAATCTTGATTGGGCTATTAAATGTGGTGATATTATTGCATACAAACTTCAATGGTTCAGTGGTGGATGGTCCGATTGGTATGTACCAGGCGTTAATGATATGGATACGAAAGTTAATGATGCTAATGGTCTACGACGTATGTGGTCATATTTCTATGATCATAACCATTCATATATTATTTGTAAAACAAATGATAAGAATAAATTAAATGGATGTCAATAAATCTGTTCATAAACACATACTAACCCGCTTGACTCTGTTTTCCTTATGCTTTCATATTTTCTTTTTTTCAACGAAATAAAAGACATTTCTATCAGAGTTGGAATTACCAGTTTTTTTCCTTATCGTCATTAGTACGCATTTAAACGTTGAGAATAATCCAGATTGGCATGAGTTACTCTCAACTATTCGGATTCTATAAAAGTCAAGTTAAATATTCGATTGATTATTTCGAGTTCCTAATTATTAGGCTAATGGCGTATCTCTTGTTCTGTCACACAAATAGCCTTCGACATCAGTAAAGGCATTGAAAAACTAAAAAAACAGCAAAAAGTGAAAAGATTGATATGTAATTGTTACCAGTTAGGCAATGTGACGAAAGGAGGCGAGTACCAAGAAATTGCCATTATTTCAGACTGTGGTTTATTCATCACGTATTTCAGTTTCAGTTGATTGACTCAATTTAAACAAAAACGAAATATTCATTAATCGAATTTTTGAGCATAAATCACAAATTCGATTATCGAAAAACTTTCAAAGCAGTACTATAGGACGATAGGGGATTTCAACAATTTTTAAATGATTAACCCTTTGGTTACCGGCATAAGAAGGAAAAGACTATTCTTTCAAAATTTTTGAAACTTTTTTTTCTGATTCGGTTTAACAGAATTTGACGGATATAACGTTAAATCTTTTTGTAAAATATGATATTCTTTGAAATCATCTGTAATACACAGACCAACGTCGCATTTGAGACATTGATAGCGTATATCGCTTTGTGTTTCTTGTCACTTCGTTTAGTGTTGCCAAAAGCATAACATCGTCGAGGAGTTTGACTGCTATCATTTGGAAGAATTAGAGGAGGAAAATGCCTGGCCGTCAGTCGTAACGTATGATGACTCAATGCTTTTCCAATATGTGCACTGTTGGAGCCGTACTTTACCACTAATCCTCGAATAACTTCTGGTTTGAATTTTGCAGTTGGAGATGTTGTTGTATCATTTTGATCGGATTCTGATCTGCAGTTTTCTGAAATTTCATCGAATCCCGATCTGAAAGACGACGTCGCCATGTTGTCATTTTCACAAAAAAATATAGTAAGTCTCAATTTGTTTTTAAGTTTTTTCAATATGTAATTATAATCTTGAGATGTTGGATGAGTTAAAGAAAACACTAAATGCAAAACTGAACTACTCAGAAAAAGAATCATTTCATACATCTGGCTCCAAAAAAAAGAATACTCTGGAATACATCAGTGTAAAATCAAGAGCAAGACGAAAAGAACGATAAGAAAAGAAAAGAAAATACATCAGAATAATCCACATGGACAAGAAGAAAATAGGGACCTGCGGTACGTGTGGCGCTCATACACTTTAAAAGAAAGAGAACAAAAAATAACTATGTGTACAACAAACTGATCCCATCTTGAGGGTGTGGGGTGTGGGGGGGTGGGGGTGGGGGGGGGGGTGTCAATGTGGGTATGGGTGTAGTGGAAGGAATAACCCACACCCACACCCACACCCACATCCACACCCACACCCACACCCACACCCACCACCACAGCCAACCCCACACCAAAATCCACACCCACAACCAAACCCACCCATACCCACACCCCCACCCACACACCCACACCCACACACACACACACACTAAAATAAGACTCTAAGGGAGAGATCTTCAGGGGCTATTTTATGGGGTACTTATAGATTCTCAAGGGCTATCCTATGGGGGTACTCATAGGTCCTCCAGGGCTATTCTATCGGAGTACCCATAGATCCCCAAGTGCTATCCTATGGGGGTACCCATAGGTTCTCAAGGGCTATCCTAAGAGGGTACCTATAGGTCCCTAAGGGCTATTCTATTAGGGTATCCATGGGTCCTCAAGGGCTATCCTATGGGAGTATCCATAAGCTCTCAAGGGCTATCCTATGGGGGTACCCATAGGTCCTCCAGAGCTATCCTATGGGGGTGCCCATAGGTCCCCAAGTGCTATCCTATGGGGGTACCTATAGGTCCTCGAGGGCTATCCTATGGGGGTACGCATAGGTCCTCCAGGGCTATCCTAAGAGGGTACCCATAGGTCCTCCAGGGCTATCCTATGGGTTACTCATAGGCCCTCAAGGGCTATCCTAGCGGGGTACCGACAGGCCATCAAGGGCTATTATATTGTGATACCCATAGGCCCTGAAGGGAGTAAGGCAATAGGGAGATAAGGCTATAAGGCCGAAGGCTACATGGGCTATAAAAATATGTGCGATATGAGAGTATGAGGCTGTAGGGCTATCTATCTATGTACATAATATCGAGTGTCTGTATGGATTTTACCGGATGAGAAGTTAAATGTCTGAGGTCATGCGTTAAAGGACAAAACAGCCGTGCAATATGCACGGGTTCTCGCTAGTTATTATATATTTTTCTTGCTTGAGTTATACTCTTCTATAGTCTCAGAAACAATTTCATTTATTGATCAAATTAACACTTCACAAGTCTTTTTATTGATTTTATTTCGATTAAAAAAAAAATTGTATATTTTCACCCTTTCATATAATTACGACATCTAAAAGTCTGTCATGTTTAATGGTTAAAGCGATGCGCCAATTATCTTTTTTTTCTTTTATGTCACTGTTATCATTACGAGCGGTGCATGTCGTGTAGAAGCACCAACGAATAAGCATGTTGTTTCTTTTTGTTTTGCTATTTTAGTAAAAACTAAAATGAATAACAACCAAGATATAAATCCATTTGATGATCCATCAATTCGACAGGCAACAGCACAAACACTGTAGTTATTTATCTGTCCATATAATATTTTAAATAAAATTCTTTTAGTTCAAATCAACAGACATTTAATGAATATAAACCATTTTCAAATGCTACATCAGTCAAAGTATATTGATTTTAAATCTTTTATTAGAGCAAATAGTTCATATATATATATATACATATAGTTAAAATCAGCTAATACAGTCGTTACATTATCATCATCTGATCAACCGCCATCATATTCATCAGCAATAACATCAATTCCTGTTCAACAAGAAACAGAAAACTTTTCTAGTAATACAAATCGTATTGATCTTACTCTGTAGAAAGAAGAAAAATACAACTTGAACAACGTGAAAGAGAATTAAGAAATTTAAATATTGGACGTAAGTTTTCGTCTTGATTTTTAATTCTAAGAAAATTTTATTTATTGAATATTTACCAGTAATCTCAACTTTGCTCAAAAATAAAATCAATGTCAGCTTAATGAAGGTTTCTATTTTCATGCTCTATAATTTTCGACCAAAGTCCAGAAAATCATAAATATTAATTAAATTCGAATAAAAACAAGACGAATCTTATCGAAAAATTCATTTCTATAAATTGTTAATATCCATCGATTAGAAACAATTGTTCTCTGACATCAAAGACAGATTTTTCAATCATATTCCACTAATAAATAACCAAGAAAGAGTAGTCTTGCATATTGCTCTTATTCGTAAATCACGTATTACAAGATTTTTGCTACATTTTTTATTTTGCGTGTAGCTCTGTTGAGGAGCGTGGCAAAACGTTTACCTTTTTTTCCAACGATGCGCCATCAAATTCTCTACAAATTTCTGTTGACTTTAATTTAGAATACTAGAACTCAATAATTTTCTAAGTTGCATAGTGTGATTATTTGAATTAAGTCTACTTCCCACACATTTTTGTTTTTACTTTTCAAACGATCTTTCCAAGTTATAAATAGGCACGTAAAAACTTTCTATTTGTAATTTGAGTGTATATGAAATTCTGTTCTAGAATTACTTGTAAGTGTTCGATCTCAATCTAAAATGATGGCTTGTCTGAGCTGCTAGAACGAAAACGATCCTCTTGACACTATTCGGATTTTTCTTCGACCTGAATCGTTGTTTCCCCTTATTTGGACTTCATATAGAAAAAGAATTCAATTTTCTACAAAGCATCGCAAAAATGAACTCGTTTTGGTCATAGCTGACATTTCTAGAATGCTTTTTTTGAGAAAGGGTCGTGAAGCATGAAAATTGCGCTATTTTCAAAATATGGCAATGCGTGTAGCCGAAAGAATGACCATTTAAAAACTTCGCATATCTATACAATCGATAGTGGATTTCAACAGCTGTCTAGCAGTAAATTGTATTTTAATAATAAAATATTCTCTTGTACGAAAAGAATAAATTATTAAAAAAATGTGTGGAAAGTAGGCTCAATTCACATAATCATACTATGCTACCTAGAAAAATCTTCACTTCTAGTGTTCTAAATTAAGGTAAATAGAAACTTATAGAGAATTTGACGACGCATCTTTTGAAAAAAAGATAAACTTTTTGTCATACTCCTCTACAGAGATGCATGTAAAACAAAAAATGTCCCAAAACTTTTGTAACATTCGGTAGAACAGGTGGTCTATAAATAATGACACATTTTGTATTTTTCTCGGTCAGCTTTCATTCTAGAAGTTTGTGCTTTGTCTCAAAAGATTTCGCTTTTTTACTTCTCTACAAAAATACACTAGAACGTTTAATCATCTAAATTTCCAATTCAAGAAAATCACCGGATAATAATGCGCTTGTTCAATATGTACATCTATTCTCGAGAGAGTTTTTTTCCTATGATTATACAAACATAAAATATATTAGACAAAAGTTTTGATTGCAATGAGCTGAACTGTTTCTCGTGGTATAGAGTGAAGCTTATTTTCCTAATTTCATTCGAATACAGAGTTCTATTGACATAATGACCATTCTATGAAAGGTGCCATTCATTTCTATTCAAACTATAAAGAATGCGTGGCGCATAAAAAATAAGCCTGTTTTATTTATTTTTTAAAGAAAGATAAGGCAATGTAAAGACTCCGTTCTAAGCTCGCTCGATAGGAAACTTTTCTCTCAACAAAACTGCTTCCCTTGTTTTACATATTAGATTTTCTTGTCAGCACAAAATTGAAAACATGAACACCTACTCAGTCGTTCAATTGCGATGGCCAAAAAATTAAAAAAAAACTTTTAGTAATAGTTTCGCTAAGATTTCAGACATACTACAAAATCGTGCATCTTTTGGTGCATATCCCAGAATTCTTTGTCTATTGATTCAAAATATTCCACTTTTAGCGTCGGATTTGATAAGCATAGGCTCACACAAATCGATAATTGTTTCTGGAAAATAGAAGACCATAGTTAGACGACTGAATAGTTGTTTATCTTTTCAACTTTGCACCGACGTCAGACACTACCATGAGATTGCCAAAATTATCCGACCATTTAACAAAAAAAGTTTGTTCGTTTTATATTTGAGACATGAAAGTGGATAGAGACCTGCGACTTCTACCATGTTGTAGATCACCGTGTTTATTACAGTCTCCCAAAAGTTCAGTCGAAAAGAAACATGAATAGCTCTTCAACAGTTCAAACAGTTTACATATTTGTTTTACAGTTCGATGTTATATTCATTAAAGTTCTATTCAATATATTTTCGATAAAACGTCTATGCCTAAAAAAGTCAGAATTAAAATAATTTTACACAAGACCAGATTCGAAATAGCTGCTGTTGTAAAACAGAAAGAACAAGTTGATTTTTGGAAAAAAAACTGGTAACTGAATAATGTATTAAGACTACATTCCAATGATTTAGTGAAGCCGATACCGCTGAAAATTGACCACCTTTTGAAAGATCTGCAGTAATTAGTAAAGAAAATATCAATGAAGTTAATGGCGCTCATGCAAATATACCAAGATCACCTGTTCGATCAATTTAGCAAGCTTTCTGAACGTCACAAACAACGAATCATCGAATTTTCACGGAGTACTCTGATTAAAACTATACAAGGTACATTTTGTTCAACAATTCAATTAAGAAGAGTTAATTATATATACCGAATAATCTGATACTGGCGCAGTTCCATGAACATCATTAACTTCATTGATATTTTCTTTACTGATTACTGCAAATCTTTCAGGAGGTGGTCGATGTTCAACAATACTGGCTTCACTAAATCATTGGAATGTAGTCTTAATACAATATTCAGTTACCATTTGTTTTCCAAGGTCAATTTGTTCTTTTTGTTTTACAGTAGTGGCTAATTCGGATCTGCCCTTAAGTAAAATTATTTTAATTCTGACTTTTGTACGCGTAGACATTTTATCAGAAATATATTGAATAAAACTTTAATGAATATAACATCCAACTGTAAAAAAAACTATGTAAACCGTTTAGACTGTTGAAGAGCTGTTCATGTTTCTTTTTCGATTGGACTTTTGGAACACCTTGTAGATTTGTGTTTAGTCTAAGATCCGAAATTCTCTTCGTTCAATTGTCATTAAAATAAGAAAAAAAATATAGAGTATATCCCAACATTTCTGGAACGATTCTAAAATTCCTCTTTCTTACATTCAACAAAAAACAAACTCATTGAAATTTTGTCAGATATTTGTACATACTTGCTTCTACATAATTACAAAGTTTGAGGTCTATTGCTTTTCCTATGAATGAGAACTCGTGACAAGATTGTCATGTACTATTTTTGTTCAATTTCTCTCATCTCGGTCATCATTTTAAAAAGAATACTGCCTGTAAAAATAAACATAAACACTCATACATTTATAAATCTTCACGTATTTGATTAACATCTTGATCGATAACTAATTTTAATTGTACTAGTATTTTATCAATCATTCTTCGAGATAAAGAACCACTGCATTTGTTCCACTTCTTTTTAAAGTTAGTATTCAATTTTTCAGTTCGAGTGTATTCTCGTTCTCGTTCTCGTAATTTCGCTTTTAATGCACCACAAATGCTTTCTAAGGGCCAAACCGTCGACTAGTTTTGTGATACAATTTATTGATTCAATTCGATTGATAAAAACATTTTGTAAATCACCTCATTGTTTAGCAGTTTTTTCTTCTGCAGTAGTTCGAATATGTCCAGAAATTAAACTATGTTGTTAAAACAAAAAGTTGACAATTTGACACGCGGGGATTAAACAGACCTAGAAATAGTATTTTTCCTACCATTCTCATGGCAAATTTTTGCTACTGGAAAATAGTACATGACAATCTTATTATGGGCTCTCATCAAGAGGGAAAGGCGTACTCTGGTAATTCGAGAGTACACGGAGTCTAGCGAGAGTAAGCAACGGAGAAACGACTTAGTCCAGTACCCAAGCAGACAAAATTTTTCGAAAACACGTTTAAATGCACAAGAAGATCGAAAAATGAACGTTTTTCTCTCACAGTCGGGAACCTCGATTGTCATCCAAACAAGCCCACTTTTACTCGAGTTTTCATCTTTTTTTATACGCTTAAACGCGTTTTCGAAAAATGTTGTCTGCTGGAGTACTTCCCGTTGTGCTCTGTGGGCTCTGGAAGTATATTGGGAGTCCAGGAAGTACAAGAGTACCACCTCTCCTTCTGTACTCCTTGTACTCCAGGAATCCACAGAATCCAGGAGTACGTTGTTTCCCCCTTGTTTCTCATCCATAGTAAAAGCTACAGACCTCAAACTTTGTCATTATGTAGAAGCAAGTATGTACAAATATCTGACAAAGTTTCAATGAGTTTCATTTTGTTGAATGTGAGAATGAAGAATTTTAAAATCGTTTCAGAACTTCAGCTACACCCCGAGAGGGAATTAGCGGACTTCAAAGCCGAGGTCTATGTTGTTTCTCTATTTCTATGCGTGCATCTAAATATACAATTTTCTTCACGATACATCATTCTAAAGAACTAACTGTCTTCTACATAATGAGTTACTTTTTGCTGCATTAGTAAACCATAAAAGTCAGAAAATTGGTATTTTGGGTGCCATTTCAGGTTTCTTTGATCAAAAAGCAATAGACAGGCAATCTGTTCTACTAATGTTCAACCAATTCCAACGCATAATACATCATTAATAAGAGAATCAAAAACTACGTTCCATATTCCATTTAAATGAATATTGTGCAATGAAAGTTGGGATGGCAAAATCCAATGTGTATATCAAATGGCTATAGTCCTCCGTATATTGCCTTTATTTGCACATCAAGCGTCATGTGACATTTTCAAAAAGCAAGTAGATTTGTAGAGAATCATATTCTTTGTAAAATTTTATCTTTGAAATTTAAAATAGTAGTAGTCTCACAAGTTACAAGCGATTCTTCCGAGAAGTATAATAGGAATTAAAATTCAACAAAGCAGTTGATGAGGGTCTAGCTTCACATTTAATGAAAGATCTGAAAGAAAATTAAAAACATGACGGATCAATTGTTGCAGCATTAAATTTTCAGCGAGATATCGCGTTAAATTTATTTAAGTAACTGCGGATTTGACTACATTTAGACTCAGACTTTTGTTGAATCTATCGGTGAGTCTTTATTAGTACTATGTTTCTCAAAAGAATCGTTTTTAACTCATCAGACAGCAACTATCTTAAATTTCAAGAATCAGATTTTTGCACAAAGTTTCACAGTTTCCAAAAATTTTGGACGACTGTTAATGTGCAAATATACACAATACACGGAAAACTGTACTCATTTGATGTACGCATTGCAACTGGTCACGCCAAGTTCGCATCACACAGTATTGATTTAAATAGAATATCAAACATAGTTTTTGATGCTCTTCTTAACGATGTATTATTCGATGGGATTGGTTGAACGTTAGTAGAAAAAATTGTCTATCTATAGCTTTTTGATTATTGGAACCTGAAATAGTACCCAAAACGCTAATTGTCCACCTTTTTGTGTTTACTGATGGAACAGAAAGTAACTCATCATGTAGAAGACAGTTAATTCTTTGGAATGATGTATCGTGAAGAAAATTTTATATTTTGGATGCGCGCGTAGATATAGAGGAAACAAAATATGGTCGGGTAATTTTTGGTGCGTGAAATATTCCATATAGTTCTTTTTGTTTTAATAAAAATTGAACAACACGAAGTTCAGATCTAAGACTAACTATAAATATAGTAAGCACGGTGGTCTACAACATGGTAGAAGTCACAGGTCTCTATCCACTTTCATGTCTCAAATATAAAACGAACAAACTTTTTTTGTTAAATGGTCGGATAATTTTGGCAGCCACTGTAAAAAACGTGAAAGTCACTTTTTTCAGTCAAATCACGTTGGCCAAAAGTGAAAATTTTAGAAACGATAGAGCTAGGCGTGCTGATAAACGTCTACTATAGGAGAGGTTTTGGAAATTCCGTGGCTGTGTCTGAGATGGATATAAAGTTGAAAAAGGTACTAAAGATGCCTTTGTAATTGGGTCCAGGAACAAGTAGATTTCACTGTTGGATAGATACCAATGTCAAGGTTTCAGGACACCAATAAAGGTTGAAAATCCATTCGAATTCATGCAGATATTTGACGTCAAAAACGAACAATTTTCCATAGCGATTTTCCAAACGGAAGAACACAGGGAAAACAAACGTCCGCTACAAAAGATGATCATCACAATGGGTAATATCTATGATAAAAATTTCTGACTTCTATCATTTGAAAGAGAGGAATCAGCTAAACTTCAGTTTGTCTCGGAAAATCTACCTAGCCACTGCTACTAGAACCCTTTCGCAAGATTTTCAAATCAAAGTTTCAGTCTATTTGTAGAAATCCGATGCAAACTCTGGTACACTTTCGAAAGAATAACCCATTATTTATATTAATATGAATTTTTCCAAATCATAGTTGCATTCTGTTGTTCATTGACGCTGTAGTTATAATTACTAATCTTATTTTTGCAATTTCAATTATTGATGGCATGTGATGGGTGCTTCTTTTTCTTTTTAATATTTTCTTTTGCTTGCTTATGCTCCAAAACTAATTAATAATTAATTTTGAAATATAAATACAACGATAAAACTTTTGCTATGTGCGTGTATATTTTGTTCTAGTGGTTTTATATTGATGATTAAATTATTCTTAGCTGTAGGAAGTAAAATTGGAGTTGGTATTATTGTTATGATTGTTACATTTAGTTTTGCTTTGATTGCTCTTGTCGATGGTTTTTTATTATTAAACGTTAGATTTTATTTCGTTTTTTATTGGGAAAAAAAACAACAACAACAACAACATAAGAAACTTTTGTTTTTATATATTTGATTCAACGAAACATTGTTTGATTTAGCTAATTTTTTATTTTGATTTGTTTGTTGAAAAAGATTTTCTATTTGATATATGTGATAGGTTCATCGCTTATAACAGCAATCGGATGCAACTCTTGAACAACCACAACGACGATTTCAATCGACTTTTATCAACAAGTAAATCAATTATAAAACCAAATAAATTTATATTTGAAATTTGTTAATTATCTTTAGTTCAGCTGTATGTGAAGCAGCTCCTGAAGTTGCTACAGCTGATATTAATGAAACATTACGTAGTGGTACTTATCAGCAATAAACAGTTTATCAAAGATCATATGAACAAAATATATAAAGGAGAGACTAATAAAACAAAACAAAAAACAATTTTTTTCTTTTCATTAGAACTATTATTATTATTATTAGTCAAGATTATATTTGAAAGCACTTAGAATTAACTTTAGAAGCATCTTTAATGAATGTTATTTTATTTAAATGATGGCAATTACAGATATATTTGGATGTGAAATGTGGGTGTGGGTGGTAATACTACTTCACTACGTACACCTACAGCCACCCACACCCTATCATCTATGGAACTTACTTATGAAAAGAAAATGGCGAATATGTGTATGTTCACTCGATAAGTCAATACTAATACCATGTCAATCATCACAGAGCAAGACATGGAAACTTTTTTGTAGAGTTTACATTATATCGTTGAATAGATCTCAACAAAATCTATATGTCGACGCTTAAATTAGTTCAAAAAAGTTACTTGGGACTTCAAATTAACACAAAAGACTAAAATTGGAAAAAAAAGGCTACCGTTTATTTCATTCTCAGCGAATCTCTCTCGCGAAACATTAAAAATCAGTCCAACTAGAAATAGGAGATAAGATCATTAAGATTTATCTATTAAACATCATTAGAACATATCTAATGATGTTTATGAGACCGTAACGAAAGCCGTTTGTAACTGTTTGTGAGTCTTTTAAGATCGCTTACGGACCTTTCTAGTCGACCTGGGATTAAAATACATGAATTTTGATGATATATTTATCTCTTACTGAATCGCAAAGTAGTGGCAAAGAATTATTTTCACCATATAGGAACGCATATATATCTCGAATTTTTCAAATTTTTAATGACCAATTTTATGTTAAATGTCCATCAATTACGAAGAAAAGAAAGATTTTAGGCGCTTTCTATTGAATTTAAAACCGGGAAATACAATATGGAGTATGGCTCACATTGTTCGCTTCATTCAAAGTTGTGACAATCTACCACAATTACAATAGAAATCATTTGACAACTGTGTATCAAGAATATTAAAAAGAATGAAAATTAATGATAAAAAAAACTATCTAGTCGTCCTATAGCAGTTACAAGATCTGAAATTAGTAATAGTCTTAGATTGAAAAGAGGAACTACTATTAGAAAAGTTGATGTTAATGTCAAAAGAGAACAATTTACATTATCTGCAGCTTGAATTTATCGAGCAGCTAAAACGTTAAAACTAAGATGATACAAAAAGAAAAAAGGGCAAAATCTAAATGATTTTCATAAAATTATAATGTGTTAAATGTGCAAAAATGATGAACAAAATACCTTATCGATTACAGTTCGTCATTGTACACAACGGAGAACATATTCATACGTATTGAATTTTATTATAGTTAATGTTTTTAAAAAAATTGTCTTGTAAAGCTTCTTTCCAACATACTCTAATCGACTCTCACTATTGAAATCTCTGCCGGGAGTCTCTGAAGGCAGTAGAGGATTCAAAATTTTTTGATATGCTGGATCTGAGTTTCAGAGCATGAGACCCATATGAAAATTATGGAGGGTGATAGTGGATCCAAGTGATGAGCTTTTACCTAAATATTTTTGCGATTGGAGTTTGCGAAAAAGAAACGCCTTTTTTTGAGTGCTACCTCCTTCGATTTTTTTCGCTTCTAGTAGTATTCAATTTTTGAGAATGCCGTCATAATCTACATCTAATTTCATCGGAAAATATGCATCCCTTAAGGAGTTATGACGTTTTGGATTTTACTGACAAATTTTTACAACCTGACGCAAAAAATCAAAATGTTATAACTTCTGAACAGATGCATAGTTTCAGATAAAATTTGAAATCTGCCGTTGAAATTCGATGTAGATTACGATGATATTCTGAAAAATTAAATACTTCTAGAAGCAAAAACAATTGAAGTGGGTAGCACTCGAAAAAAGGCGTTTTTTCGCAAACTCCAATCACAACAATTTGTGGGTAAAAACTCATCATTTGAATCCACTATCACCCACCATACGTTTCATATGGGTATGGGTCCCATACTCTGAAGCTGAGATCCAGCATATCAGATAATCCTGGATTCGCTACTGTTTGAAGAATCTTCAGGTAGTCTCCAAAAGATTTTCTTGCTTTTTACTTGACTTTTTGGGGCTTCCCGACAGAGATTTCATCACAAATCTTTTCATATTTTGCTTGACTCGTCGAGGATTCCAATAGTGAGAGTCGATTAGGGTGTATTTATAAATTTTGCTAGTCAACAAATAAAGATATCCCATGAAAAACGAGCCCGGTTGTAATTCATCGTATTGTAAATGAGCGTAAACCATCGGATACTCGATTTTCAGCCCGTTTACGACCGTTACTAACCATGTACGACACGATGAAAAATCGCCGTAATATTGTCGCTACCAAAACGTCAATTTACGGCTATTTACGATCTTAACTGTGTAAACCGATAGTATTAGTTATCATTTTTGGCCGTTACGGCGGCTGTAATCATCGTCTTGGGATGATCAAAATTAAGTGGGCAAATTCATGTATTTCAGCACTAGTTTTAGACACAGCGCTAAAACTTTGGGAAATTAAAGATTATAGTTAGATATGTATGTGATAAAAATGTCAGTCCTCTGCGTTAAGAACAAGTATGAAAAATGTGATGGAAAATTCGTCTTGGGTTATTATGAAAGACCCTTTATATGAAAAGATGTTTAATTGATTTTAGAGAATTATTTGAATATGAATTTGATGAATATAAAAAAGAAAATCGATTTATCTATTGATGATCCTCTTGTAAGAAATGAAGCACAACGTTATTCAGTTGGGACACGTCTTGCTTTTTTACCAGATGATGTTATTGGTCAATCATGGTACTTTCGTCTTTTAACACTTATTTATTATTATATATTTGTTTATTTTCATGATTTTGAAAGTATGAATAAACATTTATTATATTAAAAAATTGAGTTTGGAATAAAAGAATTTATTTGCTTTTTGAAATACGTTTGAATTTCTATTTTAGTTATTGGTTTAAATAAAATCGATCCTAACAAAGGTTGTCTTTTTATTTCTCGACATTCGACACATAATGCAGAAATTCAAGGTGTTATTGTATTCGTATATCATAAAACAGGTCGAGTAATTAGGTAAATTTGTTTTCTTTTTAAGAAATCTTAATTAATATTTATTTTGTTGAATTTTCAACGAATAAGATCTTTAATTCATCGTTATTTAATTCCATTATTTCCAATACTTCGATTAATGGGTTCTTTACCAGGAGAGCGAAATACTGCATTATCTTTATTAAATAGTCGATTTTGGGTTGCTGTTATACCTGGTATCAATTAATATATGAATTCATCTGAAAAAATGAATCTTTTTTTAAAAATTTTATTGATTTCTTTAGGTGGAGCCGATGAAGCTATGATTGGTCATGAAAATGCATATAAAGTCTATTGGCCTAATAAACGTGAGACTTTTTAATAATTAATTGAATAGATAAAATATTTGAAAAATAGGAAAAGGTTTTGTTCACGTAGCAACACAAGCTCAAGTATCAATCGTACCCACATTTATGTCGAATCAAGAAGAAATGCGTTGGAATCCAATACTTTATCTATGGAATTTTTTCTATCTTGGACGTTTATTTTTCTTTATTGTTAATTTAAATATTCCAATCTTAACATCATTATTAAAAGTAATTGGTTCAATTATTTGGTTTTCAATGACATGGATTCAAATTCCAATACCAGCTAAATTAACTTTATATATTGGTGATCCAGTTGAATATGATTTATCAAAAGATACAATTGATGATGTAATTTTAGTAAAACTTTTTTCTTTCTTTTTTTAACATTTTATAGAAATTATTATTTTTATTTATGATCAAAGATTGTTGAACGATGTCGTTTGAGTTTACAAAATTTAATTAATCGTCATCAACCATATGGAAAATCTTATTCAAATGCAATTCAACAACGAATTGAATCAATCAAAAAATATTGCAAACATCATAAAACTTTTTGAAAACAATTATGCAATTCATTTTCTTTTTATTCAAGCAATCATTTTCCGCTTTAGTAATTGACTTGCTTTTTGCTAAAATTCATTTTCAACGATTTCAATAAATAAATTTCATACGAACAATAATCCTGGGTGTGGGTGTATCGGGTTCTTCTCTACTTCCATTATCACCCCCACACCCACACCCTAAAATCAATGTGATCCAATGAATCAATACGATTAATTAAAAAGTGAAATACATTAAGTTCACGCTCTTGTTTAATGATTTTTAAATCTTTATCAGGCAATTCATAATAAAATAAAAGAGATCTAAATATGAATTTCTATGATGAAAACTAAAAAAAGTGTTTTGTTTCTAATCCTGCGTTGTTTTAATTGTAATAGATCGTTCTTGTTCATCTTTTGCTGTATCTGTAAAATGAATTTCATCAGCTTTGCATACAAACGAATCAGTTGATGTTAATTTTCCATGTTCAACATGAGTAACGACAAACATATTTCGAATATTCTTTCTTTTGTTCATCAAACTACGAATATCATCAACAATAGAGTCAACCTATGAAAAACTAATCATCTGACTTTTATAAGATTTTTTGTTTAATAGAACTCGCCATTGATGGACTTTTTTTTAGTTAGAGTATTCAAATAAGATTGTATAAATTTCTCGATCCGTTTAAACGAGTTTGTGCACTTAAATCTATAAATAATGAATTCAGAAAATATTTGAGGGATGCAGCAGCTGTTAGCTTGGATATACCCTAGTTTGAATGAAAAGTAAAAATGTCAAAAACAAAAGCGCGGGACGAAAATATGAGTGTGGGATTTTGGATAAGGTTGAGAGCAAAAAGCAGATACATACAATAAAGAAGAACTAATAAAGGGTGTGGGTGTGAGCGTAGGTGTGTGGGTGTGCGTGTGGGTGTGTGGATGTGAGCGGGTGTGGATGAATGTGTGGCTCTTGGTATTAGTCTTGTCTCTATTCACACCCACACCCACACCCACATCCACACACCCACACCCACACCCCACCCGCATCCACACACTAGTATCCTGCGGGAACGACTTTTTCTGATTCCCATTCCCTATTCCCATTCCCTAAAAAAAAATTTTTGTTCCCATTCCCTTTTTCCCATTCCCTAAAAAAATTTTTTGTTCCCATTCCCACATTCCCATTGCCATAGTTCCCATAAGATTTTCTAAGGCTCTGTTCATCTATGCGAAA